AACCCGCCGCTCCTCTCGAAGCGGCCGAAATAAACCATTTATTTGTCATACCTTCCTAGTTTGAATAATGAGGTCACTGGCTATATTTATTTAGCAGAGACCATTGACGAGATTTCGGACAACTTTGTGTCGTGTTTTTTGGCTTATACTTCGTGCCAGAGTCTCTCATACTTTGTCACGTTTTGTAATTCTCTGTAACGTACGATACGATCAGCAAGAGCTGGGCATTTCAATAATCGATGCAGGTTCAGATTGAGAAGTATTCGATTCAGTTCTTTCGATTTTATAAAAATAGTTATCGATCGATTATTATATCACGTTTGATTCAGTTTTAATACCGGTTCGTTTTGGTTTATATTAAAAAAATAATAAAATTTTCTATATAATTTTTCATTTTTTTTCGGTTTCAAAAACTTCAGTTTTTTTTTAGTTATTACTGGGATCGAAAAAAAAATCACATTTTTCAGTTCGATATGGTTGAACTAAATCGAAATGTCCACTTGTCATGAGTCAAAGAACCATAGCTGAACGCTGACAAAACTACACCCTTAGGGCCTGTCTGTAACTTTAGTCATTGCCATTTTTAGCTAGGATAAGAAAAATCAAAATTTTAAAAATATATGTACACAATCATATCAGAAAACCTAAAGAGTATAATTTACACGATACTACATCTATTTTCAAAAATCGGAAAAAAAAATGAATCGATATAAAAAAACACGAACCAAATATAAAATAATAAAAACATGATATTTTATAAAGTAAACCTTTTTATGAACATAAAACGCATCTGAATTCGGAAAAAAAAAATCAAATATGAGAATAACTAAATCAATGTGAAAAACCAAACCTGAAAATCACAAACCCTTTCACATATATTTGATGTATGTATCAAAATTTTTCTCTTGCTACATTATAATTGCACTGGATACCTTTTCGATAGAAACTTGTAAACAAAAATGCGAGTGAAAAAGGTTATACAGAACCGAGATCCAAACTTTTTTAACATGTTACATGCATGATATCTTTTTAATCAAGATTGCTAGTTAACCAAACCAAATTAAGGTTAAACATTTTCAAAAATCAAATGGAGCAAAACCCAACCAAACTCAAAACCAACAATTCGTAAGAGAGCCGAACCAACTCATTTTACACCATATTTCTCTCCCAATAACGCAACAAAGACAACGATTTTCCATATCCATTTTCATGTTTCATATCGATTTTCCCAGTCAGCAGCCAGCCAAAGCACAAGTATGGGAAAGAAAAACAAGAATGCTTCAAAAATCGATTCAAGATCTTTGAAAAAGATAACAAAAGCGTTCTTTAATCACTTCATCGAAAGATTGTCTAACGAGAATTCTGGAAATGGGTCACAAACTAAACTCAGAGAAACAGATAAAACCATCAGACAAAAAAGCAAAGCTCACTCTCAGAGTAAATTTCTTAGAATCCGAGCTTGGTTCTGCGCCAGTGCCTGCGCTTCGCGTTGTACCTGGAACACACACACAGAGAAACAACAAACGATCATAAAACCCTAATATTGCAACATTAACCCGCTTTCAAGCACGAATTTTGCCCGAACACGAGCACGAGAGCAACTGCCCATCGACGTATGCGTACGAACCTGATGGTGTTGTCGGTACGGAGGCGGATCCAGTGAGGAATCGGCCTATTCTGCCGCATCTTCTTCGCCAGCTTCTTCTTTATCCTGAACGTCTTGTGCGACGGCTGTTCAGTTTGGTACCAACCAACACAAATGATCAAAAACCAACAATTTCGCTCGATTTTTCATAAGATTCATCACAACACAGCGATCTAGAAAAGAGAGAGGAGGGTTTTACCATCTTGTGGTCGTTCGAATGGCGCCGGGACTGCGGTGAAACCAAGTAGAGGCTCGAGCAGGAACCCTGAAATACAGAGGAAACCCTAGGCCAGTCATGATTGGGCCATTTATATGACGAGACAAGTTTAGGGTTAGAGAGTATTCGATTGGGCCAAGGCCCATATAATAACCACTTATAGCCCAGCCCAATACAGTGATGCTCTTTTTAGCGTATTCTATTATATATATGTTTTTTCTTATTTTTTTAATACAAAAACAATGATATATATTTCATTTGGGGTTTAAAATCAAAATGATATCTATGCAGATTCAGCCTTCAGGACCATCGGATTTGGTCTGTGTTTTTTCGTTGATATATGATTATATATATATATATAATCGGATACCAGTTCAATTCATAGCCTAGTCGTTTTATTAAATTTAAAGAAATTTGTTTCATTTAATTTTTATTATTATTTATATTCATTCCAAAAACATATTAATTTCATTCAAATATAACCATTCTATTTATTTTATTTTATACGTGGACCGAAATAATCATCCTGATTTTTACCTAAACAAAGATCATAGTGCCTTTTTTACTATCTCCACATAAAAAAAGTATTAGAGTATGAATGTATTAAAATAATTCTTATTATAACAAACGCACATCAAAATTTTAAAAATCGCCTCAAACGGGCATAACTTTTACTGTGCTAAGTATACTTCAGGTTTCAAAACATATCTTTTTTAACCTTTTTTTTTTTTGTAACCAATATGACTAGTAAATATAATCACACTGTTTTTTACGGTGTGACGGGTGTAAATACCGTGATCATAATATAATTGTGATCCACATAAAAAAAATGATATAAAAGGATATGATCTGAAATCTATATATATATAAAAATAAGGGTATTTTTTGATAATCTCCTTCTCAAATGAAATACCATACAAAACCCGTAAATCTATAAGGATTCAAGAATGGAAAAATATAAGATTTTTTAGGATATAATCCGATGATATTTGCCTTTGGCCTTTTTACTCTCCATGAAAACAAATATATAATCGAATGTTCATATAATAATCACAAAGAATCATTTCTTGATGCTTGCTTTTGAAGCCTTTTGATCATTCACCACTGACCCATCAGCAGCAGCAGCAGAAGAAGAAGGATGAGGAGGAGGAGTTCCGTGTCTTTGATTTTTCGCAGAAGACGGAGAAGGAGTAGAAGAAGAAGAAGAAGATGTTGATGATGATGAAGTGATAGAATTAGGGTTAGGGGTTGTATTATGGTTACCGATCGATCTTGATCGATTATGCAAACGGCGATTATCAGAAGAAGATGAATAGGAAGAAGCAGTTCGGGCTGATCGGCTTCTCAGTTTCTTCTTCTCTGCTTCTGGAAGCTCTCCGCCTCTTCCGACCCGTCGAACTTTCGTCTCGTTCATGCTGGACGGCAACACGCAGTTGCAGAGAAACCCTAGATTTCAGGAGAGAAAAAAAGGCGACGCAGATTACTTAATGCTCAAGCAAACTCTGTTCATGGCAACACCTTCCACGAAAACAAATATATCATCGAACGTTCATATAATAATCACAAAGAATCTACACTTGTATCAGCTCAGCTTCTCAGCAGTATTCTCTCAAGATGCATCGAATGTCAGATACTTATTTCAAGATGAAATTTTGCGAAAACGTGAGCATATATATACATATATATACACACATTTGCCATATGCTATGTTCATTATGCACAGTTGGGATTGGAGAAAACATCGAATAACTCCTGTTTCCTATGATTCTTTTGTGGTTAACCCTTTCGGTTTAGGACACTGACAGACAATTCATTTCAATCAATTCTAAGCTAGGGAGATTGTGTACCTAAGCGAGCAAGACGGTTGACCCATCTAGGGATCGGTTTCTGAGTCAGTTTAAGGCAGACATCGTTGCAGAAATGATTGCAGTTCCTCCGGATCAGATGGTACTTGTTTCCTCGATACTCTTCAGCTAGTTTCTCCATAAACCCGCTAACTTCTTCC